GAGGTACCAATTCTAAAGCAACACATTATCTCCAGTAAATTTGTTTTTGGTTCAATACCCTAAAAGGGCCTGCAAAAGCTCCTGCTATGGAACTCTTGAGGCTGAACACCCTAAGAGGAACCAAAACTGCCTTTTTTAAGTCCTAAAAGTAAAAGGTACGACAAGCACCCCATCGTTTTTATATCAGAGTCTCCCCCCACCACCCTCCCTTCTGGGTATATGAACCACTGTACCATGCTCTACAAATATGGTACATGTACGCATAATTTTTGTGGGCATTTTCTATATTTTGGGGAAATTTTAAATAAAACAATTATTCCACTCGTGCTTATTGGATATGAGATGATTATAATCAATGAGGTTCATAGCACCAAGTTAGCTACCTCCCATCTCATATCCATCGTGTGCTCAAGGAATAATTGTTAACTATTTTTTTCCTTGAGAGTTCAAGAGAGCAGGTTCAACTGTGTTTCAATCACCACAAATCACAGAGGGGTTGTTTATGATTCATGGGCCATTTACGACCAATCACAAAGTCAGAATAATAACTTTACCCTCCCTTTTGATAGTCTAAGTAATACTTTTGCACTGTATGTAAAGCTTAAGCTTATATAAGTTACTGAGTAAGAACACCTTTAGTTTAGTAAGTCTTAAAAAATGTAATCAAGTTACTAAGTTTAGTCATCATCTTCAGAGTCTTCGTCATCATCCATATCTCTCCTACTTCTAATGGTTTTCTTCAGTATAGTCGTGGAACTTTTCTTGGCGGCCTGATCTGGTCGTACACTCAAGTCTCCGCTGTAATTGATCACACCAGATTGCGCTATTCTCCACTCCATCATCTCTGTAGTGAACTCATCATGGCCGCCTAAATCATCAAATCCTATGATCTTATCTACCAACTTTCCGTCTTTGACCAGCTGTATCGTCGGTAGGACTCGCACATTCAATCTTTCAACTAAGAAATGGCAGCGTTGGGCGTCGACTTTGACGAATTTCGTTTCGATGTGTCTGGGCGCCAACAGAGAGAGATGTTTGTCCACGATCTTGCAGCGAAATGTGCTATCGCGATAGAAATGGCAAACGACTCTAGGGCTGTCTTTTGTTTCTTTAAAGAACTCTTTCTCTCCTGGAATCTCGGTGTACTGGCCATGCCCTTTATGAAGCCACTCCCGTTTTTGTTGCTCTTGCTTTTTCAGTTGCTCCAACCGTTTTTCTCGAAGCTCTTCCATTTCATCTGTCGTCATGCGGTCCAGTTTGTCAAGCTCTGAATCGATCTGCTCTTCCATAACCTTTGTGGCTTGAAGCACGGTGTTTTGAATGTGGTGTTCGATGTTTCCAGCCATTTTGTCCGCTGAAATCAGCTTTTCAAACGATGTAAAATGACTAAAATGAAAATTCTCTCGAAGTTTAGAATTGTGTGGTTCAGTTTTGAATTCGTTTCCAGGCGTCAAAATTTATTCAGAGGTCCCTCGAGGTCTCCTGGGGACTAAAGCGTTCTCTGAGAATTGTGGGACATTTCAAGATGGCGGATCCTTGAAGGAAGTCTGTCGCTCGTGTTTGAGTCGCCTGAAAGGACTTGAAAACATTTTTTGTTGCTAATTGCGAAGTTCTTTCCTCGCAAAACTCGCATAAGAAACATGGAAGATAACACAGTTAAAGAAAAAGAGACGGAACAACAAACTGAAACAATGTCGAAGCGACAGAGGAAAAGACTTCTGAAGCATCAATTGTTCGTGGAACGTAGAAAAGTTAAAAGGAAAGAAAAGAAAGAGAGAAAGAAGGCCCAAAAAAGGAAATTACAGGAAGAAGGAGAGAGAGAAGAAGGGCAAGCAAGTGCAAGTGTCGATGCCTCTCCTAAAAAGTCGACATTTACAACGAAACTTAAATCAATGAGTTCGGACGACGCTTCTTCTCTTCGTATCGCAATAGATCTGAGCTTTGATGATTTAATGAACGATCGTGATATTCATAAACTATTGAAACAAGTTCAACGAACGTATTCCATCAACAGAAGAGCGAAGCATCCAGTTCAGTTTTACCTCACAAGTTTCGGGGGCAGATCGAAGACAATACTGGAAGAGATCAAGTGTAACTATGGAAACTGGGATGTTCACATTAAGACGGAATCTTATAGTGATATCTTCTCGCAAGAAGACGTAGTTTATTTGACCTCGGATTCTCCCAATGTTTTAAGCGAAGTCGACGAGTCCAAGGCGTATATTATCGGCGGACTTGTTGATCATAATCATCACAAAGGCCTGTGCTACGAGCTCGCTATCCAGCGGGGAATCGCTCATGCACAACTGCCAATCACCGAGTTTGTCAAATTGAAATCCAGGAAAGTGATCACTGTTAATCAGGTGTTTGAGATTTTGTTGGTTTTCACAGAGACAAAGGACTGGAGAGAGGCGTTTTTCAAAGTTATTCCTGCTAGGAAAAGGGAAGAAGATTCCGAAACCCAAGAAGTTGGTGAAGAAGAGGATTCTGTCGAGAATGGCGGCGCTTCTGAAGGCGAGAGTGAAGAATCAGACAAAGGAAATGCTGATCAAGTTAAGCCCGAGTGAAAGGCTAAACAAAACTGTTGCTACCGCGAACTTGAGAAATGATTGTGAATCTAAATTTGAATAAAGAACATATTATCTAGGAGTTTAGTCATTTTTTCAAGCTTTTATTTTTTCTGAACCAATTCAGTTTGCTGCGGCACAAGTTACACGCAAAACCACCCAGTGCAATTCCCCCACTCCCCCNCCCCCCCCCCCCGAAACGAGCATGCATGTCACGCAACACTTTTAACGTAGCAAGTGTTCCTGGAGGGGAGGTATGGAACTCGGACCAGATCACCTCGGATCGCCGATTTAAATAAGAATGGCAACTATCGTTTATTCCTCGTTCTTGAACCGAGTTGATCCGGTCCGAGTTCTGTTTCTCAAAGGGGAATCAAGATCAACCTTTCGACTACTGTAACAGGGAGGTTTGAAAACTATATCAAATAGTAAGGAAATTTCCGCCGTACCGTTCCGAACGGAGGTAGTCTACAATTTTCGGGAAAATTACTGTTCCATTTGACTTTCAAGCGAAATTTCCGGATTTTTCGCTAAATTGCAAACACCCAGAACCCCCAAGGTCTCTTTCGCCAACCTCCCCTCCCTGGAGACAAGGTTTTCTCGTTTGTGGATCGTGAACCTCCCCAGTGGAAAGCATCGTTGCGTGATAACCAAACTAACTTACATGACTCTTTTTTCTAACATGACGTTGATTCCCATCCTGACATGACTTCAACTTCCGCCATTCTTTTGGTTTGTAAACAGCCCGTGAGAAAGATTGAGTGACAAACCAAAATTAAAGGGAACTACTGTGGTCACCGTTATTGGGACCGTCACGCAACGCCTTTATATTCTGCCGTAACAAAGAGATCACGGCGGGGTTCACCGTCACGCCATCAAAAATAAAAATCCTAACCATTCAATAGAACAAGTCATGAATCTGGGATATGAGAGATGATTGATATATAAACAACCTCACCAAGATTTAGGTCTGTATGATTTTTCATTCGCGCGTTATTTAATTAGAAGTGTTTCACCCAAATTTGCAGAACTTTGTATGGAGACGCCATGTTGGTGCCCATCCAGCTTAAACGTTGCAAAACGTCAAGTTCTTAGATGGTCTTATTTCCGATGAGACTAAACCTTGCAGAAGGATTAGTAATTTTTGATTTTACAAAATGATGACGTCACATGACAACCGGCCATATTTATAAACAAAAATTCTAAGGAACGTACTGAAAGAATTGGGATGTCTACAGGAATACGAAAAAAATGCATAAGCTGGAATAGCTGGGACGAGCCCTAAAACGCATCTAAAATTTCACACTAGAATCAAACGGAAAAAATTCGACAAAATAATTGTCATGGACATAAAGTCATCAACGTTTAATTTTGACTCGTCAAAATATAAATACAAAGTCAAGCTGGGGAGAGGGTTGAGTGATTGAAATTATCATTATATACAATCAACATAGAAGGGCTGCATTGAGGCCGGTTTGGAATATTTGTATCTGGACTTCCACGCAGAACAATTTTACAATTACTTTAGCTACTACCTTTTTTGATACGATTTCTGTCATCTATAAATATTTTGTACTATTTTCTTCAAAACAACTAGTTTTAAAATACTACTGAAATGAAGAAAGCTGACAATTTTTACACCCAGCAACCATTTACAATACAACAATAAGCGAAAACTATCTACCTAAAAAAGACATCAAACACATTTTTGCCAGCTTTAGAGACTGCTGGTCGTTGTACTTTACACTGTTCTTATTAGTATTTCCAATCTTCAAAATGTCATGTATCTTAAGACACAGAACGCAATGTAGCCTATTGGTTTTCGGGTACAAAATTAACGATCAGATTTATAATCATCTGATAATTCATCGCCTTGAGCCACATAAAAGTTATTCCTACGAAAATAACTTTCTTAGACCTGGTCAGAAGCCGAAAAAGTCGGCGAGATTTCTCTCAGTATTCACTTCCAGTTTCCCCCTCTCTAACTTTCCACTTGCAACCCTCGCTGTCCACATTCGCCGGTCTTCCTCCATTGTTAAGTTCTGGTTTTCTTTTCTCTCTTTCTCTCCATACAATCTTTATATCTTGAAGTTGTTCGTCGTAAGACTGTTCGTTAGCGCGGACACAGAGTGAGGCCCCAACAAACCAATGCGCTGTTTTTGTTTGCGTTGTTCTGTCATCTAAAGAGAAAAACAAACAAAAAATCTTTGAAGCTAAAGCTCGGGGAAACTATATTGAAACTAATCATAAAAGAGTAAGGTTCGTAAGAATTAGTACGTCTACCAGTGGTTCCAGATGAAAGAAGATTTCATGGACCGACAGCAAGCGAGAAAGAGAGAAAAAGTAGGAAGGAACTGCATTATCGTTGGGTTGTCACCGTTTCTTTTCCTGTCGAGATAATCGTAACCTCTTACGCTCTTAGGGCTCGTCACGCAATCTTTAAAAGATTGTGTGACAAGCCATAAGGACGTCTGTGTAGGGGGCTAAGACGCTCAAAGTACACTGAATAAGACAATCTGATTTCCGAGGCGTACCTGCTCCTTGAGTTCTGACAGTTGTTGTGACAAAGTGAACACCAGCCGCGTTGTGCTTTCAAGTTTCTCCTGAAGACTTCTCATTTCATTTTGCTCGCTTTCTCCTTCGTCCATCGCCAGGCTCATGGCACGCATGCGTGGAAACCACTCCAGATCATGTTCCTACAGAGATGTGAGTTTGAGTCAAGACTTTTCAGTGTACATGCTAACTACCGGTACCTGCCATTACAACAAACTGCAGACGAGTTGAGAAATAATCGCATTTCAAAAAAATAAAGTAAGTCAGTTGTGCAATAAACATGGAGCACTTTGTAGCAACGCTCCTTTTCCCGGAATCATGGGTCGTTAGTTCATCGCAGGTAAGCCCCCTACCCCTACCCCCTACCCCATTAATAAGATCCACACAGCATTGTTATCAGATCTGCTAAGAATTTGCCAGTACTCATTTCTACACCTGTGTGGAGAGAGGCACAATGAGAGTTAAGTATCTTGCTTAAGAACATAGCAAAATGACCCCGCCAGGGATCGAAGTAGAAAAACTAGTCCAACGCAACAACACTAAGTCCTCCCGCTGTTATGAAGAAGTTCAATTATTTAAAGCTTATCAAACCGTGCTTATTTGTTTGATCATTAGCTTAAGAATAAGACTGCCTCTCATCGCTCACAACCCATGACCGCAAGAAACGTCTATCTAACTCGACGTCACTCTCCCCAACCCTTACCCCTAGGGAATCCTCTTTGCACTCATGACGTACCTTAACCATCTGGCTGACGTAACTCTCGGGCCCAGTAAACTCGGTCGTGTCCTTGACCTTGAGTAAGACTATAAAGTACAAGTAGTGCCACATGTTGTGTTCTGAATTGATGTGTTCATCAAACGACACCACTTTGTTATCGAAAGCTGATCGATCAAGACCTGAGAATGAGATACAGTAAAAACGCGCTAAGAACCTGTTAAAATTCCCCAGTTAAAGAACCCGTCACATAAGAACCATTCTAGGCTAAAATCTCAATACAGGTTCTTTTTGTTCAAAATATAGAGTTTTTTCAAATATCATACAGTACATCACCAAAAAGGTAAAAAAAAACTAGCCAGGACACGGGCAGTATTACAAGACCACAATACTGTACTGTGAATGATTCAATATAAAGGCCATACCTATGAGTACAAGTTGTTGTTGTTGTTGTTGTTTTTTAAATTAAGAACCTGATTAAGAACCTAGGTAGCCTAATTTCACAGTAAACACCATTTATATAAGAACCTATAGAGGCTAACTTGAAGAAACCTAAGTTCTTATAAGCGGTTTTTTGTGTAGAGTTAAAGCCAGCATTAAGCGATCACCAAGAGCCCATGGGCTCCTGGCGGTCACCTATATTCGTACCCAATCGCATTTTGGAAAGTCTACAGTGATGTATTTCATAGGTTGACACGTATTCGACGGTCACCTTAGAATCAATAATTAATATTTATAAAAACCGTAAGCGCCCGAAATTAGATTTCACTGAAAATCTCTAAAAGATGCGTGGAAACTCCGCGGATGATCTGGGGATGAATGGTTTTCGACAAAGTCGTCTTGAAGGAATTAACTGTACTGTAAACCAGTCGCACAAGAAGTTGCTGGGTTAACCTTTACGACGCGGCCCCTTATCTATTCCTCAAGGGGAAACCTTGGTGAGTATGATTTTTGAAGCCAAACACAAGCATACCAACAACTCAAGCTTATAGAGCATACTAGAGACGTTTGCAATGAATGTCGAAAAACCAAAACGCAAATAATCGCATCTAGCCAATCACAACAAATACAAAGAAGGCAATGAACCAATCAGAACCCAATGCAGAAACAGTATCGAGCGTGGAAAAAAAAAACACACGCAACCCACGTCAAAACTCAATTTGAAAACCTGTCCGACTCTAAAAGAAGTCTTGGTCACTTACCACAAATAAAACACGTGTTCTTGAGAACCTCTTCCTTGTTCTGTTTCTCGCTTCTCAGATCAGCGAACGTGTCGATAATCACACCAAATATCAGGTTGAGTACAATGATGATGACCACAAAGAAGAACAACAGGTCGTAAATGACCCGGCCCACAAACATGTTCTCCTTCAAGGAGGGTCGTCTGAGGACGTCTCCGATGCCCCCTCCATTTCTGAGTCCCTGATTCAGGGTGGTGACAATGCACATTATCAGGGTGTCACAGGCGCGCTCCTTTACGCTCTCTTCTGACTCTGAGCTTGTTTGGGTCAGTGAAAAAGTTTCTTCGCAGTTCTTGTCATCAGCATTGCACGTATTTGGTGGGGTGGACGCTGAAAGGGAAGATGACAGGAAAGATGAAGGGAAAAAATAATAACGAAATGACAGAAGTAACCAGCCGCAGTAACTGAGCGATTTTTCGCTTTCATGGGTCAGAGATGGGTGACGCGAACTGTTACCACAAACGATCAAGGGAAGACGACCATTTTCAAAAAATAATAATAATGAATTAAAAAAAAAAAACACACAAAGTATCACAATTCTGTGAAACTGGCTCCGAGGTTCAGGAGAACTGTGTTCATTCTCTAAGGCGGAAGTTAGAAGTACTCAATATGTCAGTCCGCAAAAATTCTTCAGGTAAGGCAAAGGCAAAGTATTGGAATTATAAAAAAAGATACATCGTGGAGTAAGCGGTAGTTACTTCAGGAACCTTGCCTTTAAAGATAGACCAATCAGTGAGAGAGGGGAAAAGTCTCATCGAATGTCACGTGCTCCATCGACTCGGAATGCGGGCCTACATGCTAAAGTTCTCACGGGCAACCGCTCGTTTGACAAGTAGATAACGTCAAATCATTGTATATCACGCTTATTTAACAGCGCGCTGATGACAGTCGAAGAAAACCTGCATAACGCTCTAGTGTGTTCTGGTCTTTACTGTAAGGCAGTAAGGCTGTTGATGTCTGACTACAAAATTAAGTAAGTCACTTAGGTAGGTAAAAGAATCTTGACTCACCAGAGCTAAGAGACAATCTTGGATCAGTTTCGATCAAGAAGTCGTCTTTGAGGAACAGATATCCAATGATGGAGAACATGTAGACAAGTATGAGAGCCAAGATGGCGGTCAAGATAATGGAGCGGCCATTCCGAGTAACGCTCTTGATCACGTTCAAAAGCGTGTCCTCACGGAAAATCACGTCTAACAGCTGTCAGAATGTGAAGGTGTCGCAATTAGCGCACAAAAATACATATATCTGCTATTAACCACGCGCGAGGGCCGTATACAGAGAATATCGACCCGAGGTCTTGACAGCATTGACCTGGCGCAGTAAGATTCGTACAAAAAAGACCAAGGGCCGATACTCTCCCAATACGGTCCCTAGCAAGTTGGTTAGGTAAGGTAAAGTCTGCATACGAGGAAGGGGCCCATCAACCCGGCGCTTCTCCCAGTTTCCGTAGCATGAAGCGACTAGCCTTAAGAATATTTCTACTTCCCCCTAGATGGGATGCTAGTCCATAGCAGCGTTTTCCTAAGCATTAAATTTGCCGGTACCAATTTATAAACCTGGATGGAGATAGCACTGTGAGAGTAAAGTGTCTTGCTCAAGAACACAACACAACACAATGCCAATGTCCCCAGCCAGGGCTCGAAACCGGAACGCTCGATCCAAAGTCGAGCGCACTAACCCTGACGTCACCGCGTCTCCACGTTAATAAGAGATTCGTTACTCGATCACAATTATTAAAGCCACGATCACGGACTGGAAGGACACCGTGAGCTTCCAGTGCGTAATTCTTAGATGCGACGCGTTTACTCACGTTTGACTTTCTCAAAAGGAAAGAAGGACAAGATAATTAGAAGGAAGAGAATTTGTTACGGGTAAGTTAATTCTTTTGGGAGATGGGTTAGCCACAAAACAACCATGTTCAACATTGAAATTCTTCTGTATGCTTTCATGTAATGATGGCGCTACCCTGAGGTGACGAGGGGCGAGATTCTCATAGACTGGTATATGAATTCGTTATAATAAGACGATGAGAAGTTCGTAATTAATCAAAGAGAGCTACTCACCAGTATGCTGTAGAAGAAAGTGTGCACGGTTAAACCAAGGAAACCGAAGGTGAAATACATCAAATGAAGAACAAGGTTTCGGTCCGACAGAAGCCGGCGGACATTGTGATCAAACGTGCCGCGGTTACCGACATAACTCACTATGAATATTGCTTTGATAATAACCTGAAAAATAAGAGTGCACGTGAGCTTGTAAAAATGAACACGAAACTGGCAGTTCTTGAAGACTGTTATGACAATAGCCTGTTCCAGGCTCTCGGTCAGTGGGAACGATCGAAAAAGCGGGATCTGGGAGAGAAAAGGAGGGGTCAGGTCTCCAGTCCCTTTTCTCTCCCGGATCTCACCCGTCGCTGATCCCGCTCGTCGTCCGCCCGCTTTTTCGATCGTCCCCACTGACCGAGAGCCTGGAACAGGCTATTATGATAATAGCCAATAGCTACAGGTAGCGAAATAATAAACAAATCCAGACCAAAGGGAAGCTCCCGGTGAAAAGCGCGGGAAAACGGGGTGAAATTTAGAGATCTTGGTTTTTGTGGAGGGAGGAAAAACGGAGAACCCGGAAAAAAAACCTCGAAATAAGGCAAGAACCAACAACAAACTCAACCCACATATGGCACCGGACCGGAATCGAACCCGGGTCACATTCGTGGGAGGCAACAGCTCTCACTACGACGCCATCCCTGCTCCCTTATTAGGTAACGACTGTTTCCTCTGCTACTATCCTTACATTTGCTAATCCTAATATTTTAAGTGTGGGTTCCAGTCCAACGGAGAAAATAAGTCGAAGGATAGTCGAGCCCACGAACGTCCTGATCCCAGACGGGCGAGGAAAAGTCACTATAATAGAAAACGACACAAGCATGGCCAGCCACACCAAGACAGACAGGCGACCGTCAAGTTCTGCAGGGAGACAAATTGCAAAATGACAATGACTTGCGTAGAAAAAATGCTATCATATCATATATAATGGTCGCTGGAGTAGGCCTAGTGGTTCATTAGAACACAATACAAGAACACCAACTGGCAACGAAATTCTGATGTTCTAACTTGAAGTTAATTTTCATCTGATCTAAAAGTGTTAGTTTAAGTGTCTAGGTCATCCAAATTCAGACAATTTCAAGGCTTCCCAAATGGTGATAGAATTAACTGAAAAATTACAATAGCGGCTTAAAACTGTAAACTAACCCAAAGAAAGATAGGAAAGCCAAAAGGAGCATGGATGGGCAAAATTAGAAATTATGAAAAACAGATTGCATTAGAGTAAACTTGAAAAAACATCTGCCCGACTTTTTTCAAGTTCATATCAATGAGTATAAAAGTGTTATTTTTAATGCTGAGCTCGGAAATCATCTTTCTTTCATTTGTGGACGAGATTTTACAAATAAAAGCCAGATGTTTAACACTCATAATTGACAAAAGTAAACAAAAATACCTAAAATACTGTGACCAAACTCCTTTAAGCCAATGAGAGCTATACCTAGACAACGTAACGCAATCCGCCGTGACACTTACCACCTGGTCCATCAGAAAACGGATAAAAAAATGCAACAAGCAAGTTGATCAGCACAGCAAAGTTGATGGAGATTTGCTCCCATAAAGTCATCCGGCTGCTCACTCCGAATAAGAATCGGCTCTCTGAAATGAGAAATAGCAGGGTTATATACACCTGTATACTCTCCAATCTGGACTACTCCGAGATTTGGTCACTGAGTCCTAGGTTCAGTTGCACTTTTGACGTAATCTCAAAGGAAGATGGAGCTGATAGAAACAAAACTACGGATACACGGCAGGAGGAAGGAAGAGAGAAAGAGAAGCTTAGAAAAGAAAGATTTCTCTCTTAGTAATAAAAGGGCAAGACTTTTTTAGGACTGAAAGCATCTGAAGCACTTGTTACCTCGTAGCTTCTTCTGCCACTGCATCTCGCGGAAAAGCTCCTCCGTTCTATCAAAGAAATCTGAAATCTGAAAACGAAAGAGATAATTAAATTCAAAATAACGCTGCGAGCGCAAATGAAATCATTTGAAGGAAAACGATCATTGTTGTTCAAAGTGATCTAACATGATAAAGCGCCAATATAATTGCCAATAAGCTTCAGATATGAAACGAAAATTCTAAATTTTACAAAGTTCTCATTGGTTCATTGTGTTATTATTGTTCATTGTGAATGTTTTGGTTTTGGTTTCATGAAAGTTAATTAAAAGGTCCTTATCTGTGAGAATCCGTCGGAAGACGTACAGAACACCTACTTATTCGATTTTGATATTTATCACCTGCCTACTATACTAGGGAGAAATTACAGGTCGATTAGTTACCTTGCTGTTCTGATCATCTCTCTCACAAGTCTGATAAGCATCAATTTTGCTTTCAGGAGTTAAAAACTCACAAATGTTTGGCACTGGAAACACAATCTGTTCCATTGTACGGTCTCGGCGTACAATCTAAAAAACGAAAGAGTAAGGACTGTAGAATCAGTCACGATTAGTACTTTATCGGGACCTAAAAGGGCACTTCCAAGGTAGGGATATAGCTGACGCAAGGATTTATGTTTCTCTACTTACTAAATGCATAATTGGTAGTCGTTTCATGAAATATTAAGGTGACTATAAACGGTTTCCAGCACCTTCCAAGACGTAGATTTTGATGGATCATTATAACCACTCTTAATCAGTTGATGCTAAAATCAAGGAATCAACAAACTCCCCAATCATTGCTGAAATTATTGTTATCAGTTTGGCGACACTATGTTACTATAGCAACAGTATGCCCTGCTAAACACACCCTTAATTTTGGCTTTAAGTGCTTATTTTTGAAAAACGGCAGGGTGAAAAAACTTCTTAATTATCGAATTTTGATGAGAAGGATAAGATGCAACTTTTGGCAAAGTTTTAAAAAAATTCTGTACTTGGGGTTCAGAGCCACCATATATTCACGAAAATCTTGAGCCACCTAACAAGCTACGAGAAAGCTCTTAGTGGACTTTTTCTTTCAGGGTGCTTACCTCAATTTGTGCTGTGTGTTTAGCATAGTATTCCAGAGCGCTATCACTTCTAACTTCCTCCAAGTCTGAAGGCGGGCTGGGTTTGAGTAAACTCGCCATCTCCTTATTGTGTTGTGAAAGCTAAAAAAGTAAACTGAACACATCAGTGAAGGAAGTTAGGGAATTTTACGATCAGTAGCAAGATGAGAAAGGAAGGAAGAAAAATATTGAATGCCTTTAAATTTAGAAGCGGCGCGAGTTGCACATTTGTTACCGAGGGGAGAACAATCTCACCCTCGTTCAACCTGGATTGTCCGCGAACGATTTCCCCTTCTAGGAACAAACAATAGTTTACACAGCGACTATTCTTTGGGACAATATCCCCACTGACCTTAAAGATCTCAAGTCTTCAACTTCTCTAAACAACTTCTCTCAATATCTATAGAAACCTTACAATAACTGGAGAATGACTACAAAACTTTCGGGTTACCCTAGTCTCCAGACTCAAATGTTCATTATTTTTCTGTCCTTCTATTCATATGCATTTTTTTGGTAGAACTGTAAAATGTATGAGTGAATAAAGCTATTGTTGTCGTTGTTGTTTCATGCAAACCTCCGTAGGGAGAAAAAGATGGCGGCTGTACTTTTTATCCCAATATCTCGCGAACCACACAGCCCATTAAGCACAAGGAAAGCAATCTTTTGGAATATTTGTCCCTGTACTAACAACACTGTACATGTCAGGTTTGGAGGTTTTAGAACTTTCCTGTAAGTATTTATGAGCAGTATTTTTGCGCTATGAATTATGGGTAAATGTACCAGTCAGTGGCCATGTTTTTTTCCCACGGATGAGGTTTGTGTGAATAAAAGTACCTGATGTGCGAGAATGAAAATATTATGACCGACATCACGACAAGAAACCTCGCATTCATTCTCGTCTTCAAGATCTTCCTGGTTATAGGCTTGTTTGCAAACATCAACCTGAAAGAGGCAAGAATTATGCGATTAAAAATGATTGCATTACATATTTGTCTTTGGAACAACCATGACATATCATTGGGTATAACATAAGCTGATGATCAGACTTTGGGAACGTTTTCAACCTGGGACTTTATTCTCGACATTTCAACTTAATCACTTCGCAGTGGATCTCTAGCAGTCGAATGTATTAAACAAATCCGAGTTCGCAGGACTAAGCCAGAGCTCTGAGATCTAGCTCAGTTATCTGGTGATATCCCTGACCAGGCATACCAGCTGTTGAGGTGTCATGTTGTACAGTATCCTCTCAGCATTCTCTGTGTCGTGACGGCTTTCCATTATCGCTAGCAGAGTTTTCGATGCATTGTTCTGGAAAAGAAAAAAAAAATCAAGAGAGAGTATTAATCACTCTTTTTCTGCAACACAACGAGGACTAATATTTAGCGCGAAAATACCCAAAGAATTAACGCCTCTTATGAGCCACTCAGAAGAAAATGTGTTTACTAGCAAGTGAACACACCCTTCCAATAGCAACCATCGTTACGTTGCTAAGCTACGTGTGGACGTTGCTAGGCAACGTATGGCAACGTGTGATGTAAAGAGCACAACAAACGAAAAATGTTTCATCCCTCTAAGTAAAGAACGTTACTTTAAAAGCTTTAAGAGTTTGTGTAGCAGTGGGCAAATCAATCAAAAAATCAATTTCACGTCAACATGGTGAAACGAGGTGACGTCAGATTGCTTAGCAACCATGGCGACGAAACCAGCGAGATCAGAGCCTTGAGTCTGGTACTTACTCCCCCGGTTGATAAACGCTTTTTATGACTATTTAGCAATTTCAAAATGCTTTAAGGGCTTCAACAGAGTATGGCATGTAAGTACAACAAAAAAAAAACAGGAAAACACGAAGATGAATAACAAAGTATACAATGCTGCCACAAACCTTGAGTTCCAAAACTAAATCCATTCGTTGTTTTCCCAGCGGGTTGATGTCGTTTAGAACTAAAGCAATGATAATGTCGATACCATTGGACTCGTGTAGAGCGATAGCGGTCTGAAGAGAAACAAGCCCCAAGGAATATCAGTAATAATATTCGTTTACATAAACTGAACCAAATCAAAGAAAAAGAAAAGCAGAATTTCCGACAGAAACGCCAAATTTTTGCGCGTTTATCGCTAAATCCTAAGTAACGCGATCAGAAAATACCAAGTAACAAACCGAAATTCAAGCCAGTTTTTGTATTGCCCTTGTAACAAGCAGTCAGGATAAAAACCATCGAACGACTTTCTCAACACACAATAAACAAAATTTGGCCACCTGAAAGGTCAAACGAATTCAAAAGCTTCTAATCCCGAACAACGACCTCGCTAGCTTTTCGAAACACTGCGGTAAATAACACAAATCACAAAACTTTTCCTAAAATAAAAGTCACACAACAAGAGCCACGCACCTGATTTTCGTGACAAGGTCCCTGGCAGTACTCGGTTAAACTCTCCAGACACTGGTTGATCAGTCCCACGTTCGATTCATTGATATACAGACCGAGTAGTCCCAGTCCCCCAGACGTGCTGCCGCAGATGCAGTCAAGGAATTGCAGAGTCTCGTGAACCAAGTTGTAGTTGGTCTTGCTGTGGTCTTGTTTGCGAATGTAATTCTGAACAACCAAGTAAGACA